CGTTGGTTGAGATGGTTGGAATGACGCCGTGCAACAAGAATTTCTTAATTGCTTATGCAATTATCAAGGACGAGACCGAGTACAGCTATGACTGGGTCCTACAGCGGTTGAGACTTCTGATAGGGCCTGATGTACATCCTACAGTCATTGTCAGTGACAGAGAGCTGGGGTTGATCACTCCTATTCAGAGAAATTTTCCGACGACGCCCCACTTACTCTGCACGTGGCACATCAACAAGGATGTGGAAGACAGGGTCTATCGATTAACGTCGACAACCACAACTAAAAATAAGATCTTCGCGCAGAAGTTCACGCACGGCAAGTGGAAGAAGGTTGTCGAGGCGAACACGTGGGACAAATACAAAACTGCCGTAACTGATTATGCGGCGTTTCCTCGTGTGCTGGAATATGTGGATCAGACATGGCTAGTGCACAAGGAAAAGTTTGTCAAAGTGTGGAAGGACACTGTCTTACATTTTGGCAACACAACGTCGTGTAGGGTGGAGAGTTCCCACGCTACGTTGAAGCGGTGGCTTAACACGTCGACTGGTTCTCTCGACACGGTTTGGGAGAAGATTGACAAAGAGATTGATTCTCAACTGACTAAAGTCAGGTATATTTTTTAATTTATACTGTAAGACTGTGTTATTAATGCATTAATTATAAATTTTAATTAGGTCGAATGTTATGTTATGTAATGTATTACCAGAGAGACGCTGGAGTCTTCGAGACTTAGGATGAGTACGGGCTATAGGGGATTCCCTTTCGAGCAGTTGACACTGCAGGTCTCGCATTACTGTATGGATATATTGAATGATGAGCTTCAGAAGATGCGAGACTTCGGCAAAGATGTTTCGGAGCGCTGCGATTGTGCACTAAAATACACTCATGGACTTCCTTGTCCCTGTGAGCTAAGGGAGGCACACACTGTACGTAGAAATATTACGACCGACGACATCCACATCTTCTGGAGCACACTAGAGGTGACGCAGCCAGGTATAATTGCGAGATTAATAAATCTATAGAACATCATGCTCAACATTTTTTTCTTCTAAATTTTCTTTAATTTATAGAAATTTTGATAGAGCATATTGTATAATTCTTTAAATTTTCGATACGGACAGGTCAGCAGAGTGCATCGGCGAGTGGATGGACTGATCATGATTATTTTCGGAGGCTTGCCGAGGATGTTGAAGCGGCCGATCCTGCGACTGTACGGTACCTGAACCATCTCATCGACTCTCAGCTTCACCCTGATCAACAGGGATACACAGAACCTGCAGTGAAGGAAAATCCGAGAGGTCGGCCCAAGAAGAAAAATTCAACAAAACGCGATCTATCGAGATGGGAGTACAATGAAAGAGGCCGTACGGCGGGGCGTAAAAGCACTTCTTCGTGTGCTCCATCGCAATCGGGGTACACGGAAACAAGTCGTCTGCCGGGGCGTAAGAGCACTTCTTCTTGTGTTCCGTCGATGTGGGACTACAGGGAAAGAGGTCGTCTGGTGGGTCGTACAAGCACTTCTTCGTGTGCCCCGACAAGCTCATCGTCTCAAGATCCGACAGATAATTTAATTTTATTTTTTATCTGAACGATGACTAATTATGTTTGTAAATTCAATTACCTAAATTATGACGTGAAATTATTCTGATATTACAGATACATTCGAGACGGATTTTTTTTCAGTACCGACATCGTGGTAGGATTCCCTACGTAGTTCACAGCTACGTACAGAGTTATCTGGATGTGACGCCGGACGGGAACTGCGGATTTGGGGTGGTTGCGAGTTACATTTATAGGGATCAGCAGAAGTGGGATGTGGCATGAAGAAATATTGCAAATGAGGTTGCAGCCAACATTCATTTGTACGCTCCATTTTATTGGGATGGGGTCGACGTCGCAATCGATCGTATAAGATGGGACGGGGGTCCTTGTGGCGAGGAGCATTGGATGAATGCTAGGGGCGACCTCTTTGTTATTGCTACACTGTTCAATGCAGTTGTCGTGTTGTTAAGCTATGGTCCCAACGATAACAATATGGACATGGCTAGTATGACGGTATTCCCGATCCGCGCACCATCCATGGCTACACGACCTGACTGTGAGATCGTCATAGGTCATCTTGGTTCCTACTCACACTTCATTCGTATCAATCTGTGTTCTGATTCTCCATTACCGCCTTTATGTTTTTTTTGGGACAAATACCGAGATGTTTCGGTTCGAGATTGGCCGTATCAGTACCAGAGCAGGTTCCAGTTGTGGAATGATATTCGTACTGCAACTGGAATTTGATATATTGTGATATTCGACTTATGTCTGCGGTTTTTTTTTTATAAATTTTATTTTCATGCGTTACGAGTGATAGATTGTGATATCTCGCCCTGTCTACCGTTTCACGTGATATAATGGGAGAATTTTTTGTTTAGATGAAAATAAAATTAACTAACCACAAATAAAAAAAAAAAAAACAATTCGGGTGGTTTCTGACAACATCCAAAACAAAATATATATAAAAAAAAGTAATTATTACATCACTACTGCGCTCTGTCGAAATCCAACCTCAACTGAGCCAGTTTTTCTGCATAAATTGCCGCCCTATCAGGAGCAAGTGTCGCGATCTCTTGATGCATATCTGATGAAAGGGACATGGACCGTCCGACCCACTACACAAAGCATAAGGAAAATATATACACATAATTAAAATATAAAAAATAATTGTAATGAACGAATACTAACTAAATTTAGTAAACGACTTACGTAATCTAATGAACGAAAATATATACACATAATTAAAATATAAAAAATAATCGTTGTCCGCCTGACTGTCGGGCAAGAGTCTAGGATGAGAATATCACTCATACCATCGCTGGTAGTCCTCATGGGCCGCCTCTAGATCATCTGCGGTGGTGGGAGTACAATCAGACAAGCGTACAGAATGCAATACCGGGAACTGATCCCAGTGATCTACTGCAGCGTCCGATGCATGCTCAACCCTGTACATCCTAGCATTCCAACCACGAAATACCGTGATCGGACAATCCATGCGGGGAGGGATCGTCTGGACGTAGCCCAACTGACGCAAGAAACGCATAGGCATGTACGGCTCCACAATATCCCGGTACCTAAGGCATCCGTAATAAAGGGTCCTGGGCTCCTGCAAATGTGGGTTGGGGCCATATGGCAGCCAGTTTACCTGTTCA